CTCTGATACCCTTGACTGTGGCACCAGGGAAGCAACATCATTGTTGCTTCCATCAGTTCTTTTCAAATGATTGACAGATAACTGTCACTATGGAGCAGCCCCTATTTATTCCATACCACCTATTTAACAAAGCAATTTTAACTTATTTGAAGGTTGTTAATTCAATGCCAGAGTTTTGTATCATAAAACCGTAATTCTTAAAAAAAAAAGCACACATCTTGAAGAAAGTTGTAAATTAAAGAAAAAAGTGAATATAGAAATTAGTGGCAAAATTTATAACATTTTGAATAAAACCACTGAAAAATGCTTAGTATTTTCAAAAGTGGAAATAACATTTGAATTATAAATGTTTATTATTTTCCCCTAAAAACAAAATCAGAACCTTACTGATTGTACTATTAGGGATGGTCAATAAATACTAGCCTAGTCAGTGATGCCCACATACCAGGAACAAATGAAAACACAAAATTACCTCGACCACAGTTAAGCCACGCGTAGACCTGGATACTATATCAGCAGATACTGACTGCCACTAATGCCCTAGATCCCACACATCAGTTTTGAAATGTACATGCACATTCAAAGACTTAGAAAATTGTTAGACGAGACGATCAACAAAACTTAAGGCATCACTGTGTGAAAACTGTTTCATTCCAAACTTTTGTTTCTTGTAACATAAAACTGAAAGACATTAGATGGTATGGAAATTAAATACTTTTATTTACAAAATGTTCTTGTACATCACTTTCTATTGGTTGGTCTTGAATAGGTGCATTTATCTTCAATGAACAATGATACCAGTAAACCAACATATATAAAATCCACACAGGTTCTATTTAAAAACTAATCTCTACAGTTAGTGTCAATGGTACTAATAAACTTAGAAATGTCATCAGATAAAATAACAATATTGGATTTTTTAAAATAAGACTTACATCTCAACCATAATATAAAATTGTGTTCAATCAGATTTTCCACTGAAAGCAAAATTTCAGATTTAAATTTTATTTTATCCCCCATTTTAAATCTCGTTATTTTGCCCAAAAGGAAAATCAAGTAGCTTAACAAAAAAAATCTAAATATAGCATATCAAATAATTAGTCAACTCCATCATCTTCTCAAAAGTAAAATAAAGTCATTTGAAAAGCTTGTGCTGCAACATTAGAATTAGAATCCCCACAGTGTGGAAACAGGCCCTTCGGCCCAACAAGTCCACACCGAACCTCAGAGCATCCCACCCAGATCCATCCCCCTATAACCCCCTAATATACACCCTCTACCTCCCTGAACACTACAGGCAATTTAGCATGGCCAATCCGCCTAACCTGCACATCTTTGGACTGTGGGAGGAAACCCACGCAGACACGGGGAGAATGCGCAAACTCCACACAGACAGTTGCCCGAGGCTGGAATCGAACCCAGGTCCCTGGAGCTGTGAGGCAGCAGTGCTAACCACTGTGCCACCGTGTTGCCCAGAAAATGAAAAGTGCAAGGAAAGGCTTCATTTAACTTTTCTTGGTATGTTATCAAGCTAGTATCATATATTTCTGTATTACAGGTATTTGTGCTTTATTACATTTTAAAAATGCAATTACAATAGTGTAGTAGCCTAGAATTTCAGTAATTTCCATATTAAAAAATAGCCAAAATCTGCAACTTCTTATGGGACATTGGGTGAAGCAGTTGACTCAGTAAATCTCCAAAAGGCACACTCGACGAACTTCAAAAGCTGTATTGTTTGTAGCGTGGGCATGTTTGGTTTCTCCTGCATGTTGCTCTTGCATTACGTATGCAATTACTGGGTAATATCTCCAAGTTCTGCAGGGGTTCTGCCACTCGTCTACAGAAACCCCAGGAAAAGCCAAGGACTTCTGTGCTTTTTCCTGAGGTTTTAGAGGAGAAGTAATATTTTTTCTCATAGAATCCCTACAGTGTGGGAACAGGCCCTTCGGCCCAACAAGACCACACCGAACCTCAGAGCATCCCACCCAGACCCATCCCCCCATAACCCACCTAATCTACAACTCCCTGAACACTATGGGCAATTTAGCATGGCCAATCCACCTAGCCTGCACATCTTTGGACTGCGGGAGGAAACCGGAGCACCCAGAGGAAACCCACGCAGACATGGGGAGAACATGCAAACTCCACACAGACAGTCGCCCGAGGGTGAAATCGAACCCAGGTCCCTGGTGCTGTGAGGCTGCAGTGCTAACCACTGAGCCACCGTGCCGCCCCATTTTGAGTATTTCTGTGGAAACTCAACATTTTTAACTTTAATAGAGACAATCTATATTCTAAATGTAGACTTATGAACTTTCACAATATAGGTATCCAGGAAAGGTATACAGACACAAGCTTTTTATTGTGATATGGATATGATTGGATGATTTTTTTTGACAGACCTACATTTATTTTTGACAAGACTTCTGTTTTATAGGATTTTGCTTTTGTATTGCTCCAACTATATCTCTATCACATCTCAGTTGAATGATAATCACTAATGTATCGTGGTACCATATGCTCAAATCAACATTATTTCACATTTGTACAGCATCTTTAATGTCGAATAAAGCATTTTAATCCACATCATAGAAACAAGTAAATAAAAAGTCAAAAGCTTAGACAAAGAAACAGTAATTAAAAATTTAAAGATTCTTCGGGCTTTGTCAGGGTAGATGCTGAAAGGTTACTTCCCCATGTGGGACAGTCTACGACCAGACGGAAAAATCTCAGAATAAGACATTGCACATTTAAGACAGATGAAGAAGAATTTCTTCTCTCAGAGGATAGTGAATTTGTGAAATTCCTTATTGCAGAGAGCTGCCAAGGCGAGGTTGTAAAGTATATTCAAAGCTGAGATGGACAGAATTTTAGTCAATGACGGAATCGAAGGTTATGAGGAGAAAGCAGGAAAATGGGATTGAAGCTTATCAAATCAATCATCTCACTGAATAGCACACCAGACTCAATGAGCTGAATAACTTACTTTAGCTCCTACGTCTTATAGAATAGCCTATTTCTGCTCTGACTACATCTATTGGCTTTATGGTCTAAAGTAAAAAGAAGAGACTGGTTGGGTGAAATGGCCTGTCTGTGTTGCGTATCTAATGTAATGATCTTTGGCGTCAACTCCATTTTCCCACCTTACCCTATTTATTTTAATTTGCATCGACTCTAAAAATCTATTGATCTCAGACCTGAATATAACAAAGTAGTATCCAAAACTCCAAAGGTAGAGTCATAGTCACAGAGGCATAGTGCCATACAGCAAAGAAACAGACCCTTCAGTCCAATAAGTCCACACTGACCATATTCCCAAACTAAACTAGTCCCACTTGCCTGCATTTGACCCATATCTCTCCAAGCCTTTCCTAATCATGTACTTAACCAAATGTCTTTTAAACGTAGTAGCCTGTATTCACCACTTCCTCTGGCAGTTCATTCCATATATAAAAAAGTTGCACCTCATGTCCTTTTTTATACTTTCTCTTCTCACCTTAAAAATATGCCCCCTAGTTATGAACTCCCCCATCTCCCCCCAAACAGGGAAAAGACCCTTGCTAGTCACCTTATTTATGCACCTCATGATTTCATAAACTCTAAGGTCACCCCTCAACCGCCTACACTCCAGTGGAAAGGTCCCGGCCTATCCAGCCCATTTTTATAACTCAAACCCTATATTCCCGGCAACATGCTGGTAAATCTTTTCTGCACCCGCTCCAATTTAATATTATCAACTCTAACTGAAGAAATTATGCATCTCAGTCCTAAATATCCAATCCCTTATCCTGAGCCTATGCCAGAGTTCCAGACTCTTCAGCCAGAGGAAACAGTCTCTCAGCATCTACCTGGTATGGTTTCTTCAGAATGTTAAGTATTTAAATGAGATCACCTCATTCTAAAATCCTGAGTGTGCAGACACATCCCACTCAATTCTTCTTCCTAGGACAACTCTAATCCTAAGAATACATTAGTGAGCATTTATGCAGAGGTCTCCTAAGACTGACCTCTGGAACACAATGTACTTTTGGTTTCAATGCCTAAGGAAGGGTGTTCTTGATATTGATTGTTACATCATATCTCAGGGTTTCCTTACTCTTGTCCTGCAAACTACCTATTATAAAGGTCAACATGCAATTTGTCTTAATTGCTTGTGGTAACTGCACATTGACTATGTTGTTTACAAGAACCAAGATTTAATAATTTTTCACTATTTAAAAGATACTCTGCTTTTCTATTCTTCCTACCAAAGTACACAATCTCACAATATACTCCATCTGCATCTTCTTGCCTGCTCACTTAATTTAACTGTAAAGCATTTGCAGACCCCTTGTCATTCTTTCAGCTCACTTACCCACCTGGTTTTGTATAATTTGATATATTAAACACAATCCTTCATTCAAGTCATTAATACAGAATGTAAATAATTGAGGTCCCAGCACTGATCTATTTGGCGTGCAGCTAGCAACAGACTTCCAACCCAAAAATGGCCTGTTTATTCCTCATTTTCTGTACTTTAACCAATGCTCTACCCAAGCTAACCTATTACCCCTCAAACTCCATGAATGCTAATCATGCTTGTGATCTATTGTGCCTAGTTTCCATTTAAAGATTAGGGAGTAATAAATAAGTGGACAAGTTCAAGCAGAAATAAAAACTTGGCAGAGTACATTTACAAGGAAGGCTGTTGAAGTGGACAGATCTAAAAACAATTTCTGGAGACAGAAATATTACTGTCATATTCACGTATTTGGGTTTATTATTTGTTATCTCAATGTTATTTCCCTTACCAAGTGTGTTTACTAGTTTTTGAGCTAAGGATAGTTGTGTGGTCATTAATCTTTTAGTTTTTTTTTTGAACCAGCTTGTCTTGCACTGAATGGTGTAAAATCCATTTAGCTGAAAATCAATATTTAATGTGAAATTATTGGAAGTGTTTAATGCTGACTGAACATACTGCATACATTATGCAGCAATGTTTGCTTCCAGGCTATTTTCTTCTTTTTGAATATGGCTGTCTGACTCCACTTTTGGAGTATTTTATTGGCTGTCATGGTTATTATTCCAGTGATACAAGCTTCAGCAACAGCTGAAGTTTTAAATTTAATGCTTTCAGAGTTAGGAAATTAGATTTCTAATTATAAAACATCTGCTTAGTTACAATAATAACTCATGAGGAATGACTCAGATTTGACCAATATACACACTTGTGATCTATAACAGAACAGATGCCAAAGAATATCAGAAGGTCAGAAGAATTTAGCTTAAACATCAAAACCCAATTCTGTTTCTTTTAAAAAATGTCTATGCACTATGAGATGATCACTTGAAAACAGCAGGCTTTCATCAGCTCTTTGCTCAATATATTCTGAATATTTCAGTCCCAAAGTATGATACTTGAATTATGACATTTTCCAAACTTTGTCTGATCCAAATTGCATAGAGATTTTGAGTATGCTAATACACGAAGAGTGGATGATTTACCAATACTGATTTAAAAGAAAAAAATTCCATGTGAATATCAGAGTTTACCACAGCAGAACTGAACTTCAGATACCCATAACCACAGTACATCCATGTTTTGTAGAACTCTTTACCAAATATATGAATACAAAGTCACCTTCACGTCCCTAGCATTATCATTCTTGGTTCTTCTGGATGATTCTACGATGCCCAAGCTTTTAAATGTTTCATACTGTCATCTTCTTCCCTGGTCTTCTTCTTAGATTTAACTACAACAGACAAAGTCATAAAATATTTCAATATATTTGATAAATTGCCTATTTGCTTTGTACAGATAAAGATACAAATTCTTGATAAAGGAAGACAAAGGCTATAGTGTGTATAGCTTGGAAAATTGATGAACTATAGATTTAACTGAATGAGCATCCCTGTATAAATAATTGACTACATACTTTACACCAGAACAAGTCAAATACGTCAGGGTCAACAATGGTAATCTATAAACAGAATTCCTATAATTCTGGATCAGATGGCTAAGCTCTGAAGCAAAAACACAGATATAATGATGATGACCGGCCTACAATATTCAACAGTTCTACAATGCACAAGTTTTATAATTATAATGATTACTGTCACATGGAATAAGGCGATGAACAGAATAAAATATTCAATGTTAAAGCATATTTGTGAGTACAAATAATTCATGAACCGATTACCAACTTGAGGATGGTGCTGGAAATTAAAAACTTCTACCAGGCCCAAGCTCGAAGTGAACTATTGGATAACAACTTCCCTACACTCCACTATCAGTGAAGATCTACATGAGTGGAATAATCACAGTTCAGATCCCGGTGTGAGAGAATTCATAAATATAAAACCAAAAGGAAAATCAAAACAAAAATTGACATTAAACTGGCAGCCTTCTTTGGCAGAACCAGAAGGATGACGAGTGGGGAAGACAAAGCTACATCCAATACTTAAGAAAATGGCAAGAAATTATATTTTCTTGACTCCAATTACCCATATTGCTAAAGATGGACAAGATGGTATTTTTGAAATGTTCCCCTAGTATTGCAAAACAAAAGCTATGAAATAGCACAAGTCAACACATATTAGTGACACTAGAAACATGCCTCTGTGTTTTATCACAGAGCTTCTGTGATTAACACACTGCCCAGGCAACTTCAAATAGCACTGCATTATGTTGATATGAGCACTAATTCCCAATGTATTACCAACCTCCAAAGAACATCCAAATATTTGATATACTTTCATCCTTTCCTTTTATCTTTCCAACCACACGAATCTACTCAAGGGAGTGGACTGACATACAGATCTCAAACACAATCATCAAATGCAGCCTGCAGTGCAATTTAAAATTTCCCCTCTCCAAAGACTCCTCCTCAAAGCCAAAAATTAAACTGACCATAATTTTGAAGTATATAACAATACTTAATTGTTATACGATATGGATAAGCAAATGTAATTAACTTGATTCATGAATTTGTTACTTAATAAGTGAAGAGGGCACTCCTGAAGTGCACATTTCCTCAACGTTGCGTAAACATAATTACGATTATGCAGAATTTCCCTGGAATATTCCCCTGTTTGGTTTATTCTCCATAATTACAGAACTGAAAAAAAAAACTTTTTAAGAGCTTCAGTCTAATCCACATCTAAATCTTCTCAGAAACTGCACACATTTTGTCATGTGTGATAAATAGCACAATAGCAGCTGAGACAATCCATAACATTCAAAAACCATTAACAACATTGCCAAACACAATGTAATTGTGCGTTATAAATAGCCCAATATTTAAAGTTTCACTTAAAAACATTCCAGAACCAGATCAACATTTTTGACAAAATCTAACCAGTTCTTCCTTGGGCCATACTCTATGTACCAGGTTTAGTTGAAATCTCTCCATTACTTTTTGAGCTATATCATTGGCAGATTTCCAAACAAGCAAACTACATTATAGCTGCTCACTTTCAGTGGCCAAAATGAACATTAGTTTTATTGATTTTAAGAAAAGTATAGAAAAAGTTGTATAATTCACTCCATCCTTCTTCGACTGTTCACTATTTCTACAGTACATCAGCATACACAAAAACATCCTGTGTATTTCAATTAATTCCAACACCAGGTTCTAGTTAGCTCACCTTGTCTGGATGACAGGGAGGTAGTTGGAACTCTTGGCAATACTTTAGTCATCTTCTTACTTAATTCTTCTTCTTCCAGCTCTTCTAATTCTGCCAGCAATTCATCCTGGAAACAAATGCTTCAATTAACTCATGGCATCATGGAAGAGCTTAAAGCAGCTAAAAATTATTATCTGATAAAAGAAAAGCAAAAAAATTAATAATTGGAAGAAATTTAAATAATTTATAATATCATAATCAGATGTAGAACCTTCTCTCTGGTCAAAGAAGATTATAAAATTTTAATAAAAACAAAAATGGATCGTTCTAAACGGAAAATGCTACAAATGCTCAGCAAATTGTGCAGTGTCTGTACAGAGGAACAGAAGTAACATTTCAGGTCAATCACCATCCACACTAATTTAGATACAGCTTTCCTGCAGACCATTAACATTTTTTTTATTGCTTTAATTAGTTTTGTTATTTTTATTTGTTTGATCTTTCATGTTTGCCTGGCTTTGAGATTTGAATCTCTTTGATTTCTATGTCCTGCTGAGCAAACATGTTTCTTTTTATTGATTATTTATTTTCTATACATTTCTAGAAAGAAAATAATCTTGCATCAAGTCTAATTCACTATCTACCAGCATGTTTGCAATAATGAGAGTTAAGGGTATTGAGAAGAGTGCCATTTAAGGATCTAAAAGCAATTCAGAATGAAATAATCAAAGTGTTCAATGTACATTCATGTAAAAACAGTGATTGCATATCAAAAGTATCTCATTAACTGTGAAGAGCTTGGGGAATCCTAAAGTTTTAAAAGGCACTAGATAAATGAAAATATATCTGTCTGCTCAATGTTCACGTAGCCCAACAGTTAAAGAAAGAAAACTGACATAATGGCTGAGGTATCTTAACAACTCAAGAACTAAACCAGCACAGCTGTTGCTGACAGGTAGAATGGGACAGAATCCATTCCCAAGTGTGGCTGACCTGAATAGCATTCACGTTTCAACAACATTAAATCATATGATAATTACAATCTTTTTTTAAAAAAAAAGGCATTCTATCCAAGTCTTTTGTCTTGCATTCATTGGGACAGATACAAGAATACCAAAATTCAAAGAGGAGCAATAACTTACACTGGATAAGAAAAGATTGATGATTTGCCATGGATAATGCAAAAGTTCCACAGTTTGTTTTTCAAATTCAAAAGAGGCACAATAGATGGATATATTTCTTTTTTCCTTTCAGGTGACAGGTCCCAGTAATCTTTTTATTTACTAGTGGAATGTGGTCATCACTAGCTGGGCAATTATTTATTTCCCATTCTTAGTGGACGTCCAGAAGGTGGTGGTGAGCTGCCTTCTTCAAAACGCTGCAATCCATTTGATGTAGGTATACCCACAATGCCATTGTAACGGAAGCTCTGGGACATTGACCCAGCGACACTGAAGGAATGGTAATATATTTCTAAGTCAGGGCAGTGAGTTGCTTGGAGGGGAACTTGCAAGTGGTGGTTTTCCCATCTATTTGCTGCCTTTATCCTTCTAGAAGATAGTGGTAGTGGGTTTGGAAGCTGCTGTTTCAGGAGCCTTGGTGAACTTATGCATAGGTAAACACCCGCTTTCCTTAACTGAATATGATAATGTCGACACCCCACTAATTGCAGGTTTGCCACTCTTCATGTCTCAGAGTATTTTCATTTTTTTCCAATTGAAGACTTATTCAGTGATAATTGTGTATCATTCTGAATAATCCCTTGTGTTTTCATATTCCTTAACTCTATTTGAATATGCTTTGTCCTGGTTTCCAAATAACAGTTCAACCAATCAACTTCACACTGATGAGATACAGCCATTATCTGGTACAGCACCACTGAATGCAATGCTTAGGGGACGACTTAAGTCTTTGGCTATGAATACAATGTTCTCTTACCGTTCATCCTTACCATATTCAACATCAGAACCCCCTGTTTCGTGAGTTGCCTCAAATATTAGACTCATGATTTTTGGACAAATGCTGACAATAAAATTTAGTGCCACATTAAAAGCATGACTAAATAACGTCTGTGGATTTGTAGGATTAATTTGTTGTCAGCTAGCACCGGATTCTTGTGTTTTCTTTTGATTCAAAAATCTATTAAATATATGATGCCTCCCCCCTTAACACTTCTTTCACCAATTTATTTCGTCCTTACACAAGTGTTTGCAACTAGGCCACCTTTGACTTTCTCAACCGGTAATGAGTATTCCGTTCTCTGTATTATGCATAGCTCCCAACATATCCTGTGAAGGCAGCTGGATTGTCTCCTCTAAACATTTTTCAGAGCAGCAGTCATTTGTTCAAAAAGAGACCACAAAATTGAACAACAGTTTATATATTTGTACACAATCTAATAGTTTGAATGCAAGCACAGACCCCTGAATTTCTAGATGGAATTTATTTAGTCTTTTATATAGCCTCTCAAACACCACAATATATTCTTCCATTGACAGATTATGGATCTTCTTAAATTTATCAAATATTGACCATGTCTTGTAGGCTTCCAACAAGTTTTTTTTTTGTTTGTAATCTCTCAAACAGACCTGGAGCCACTTCCTCACTATGCAGACTTGATGCTGAAATACAACACAAAGCTATCTTGTAGAATAAACAGCTATTCTGATCAGACCATTACTCACTGTCCGTAGCAATATATTAACAACTGGGCCCAAGACCTCCATTTTCATACCTTATAAGTATAGTCTCACATTGCTGCAATGCAGTATTGACATGATTGGTATTTTCCATTAACAGGACAATGCATCAACTAATTCAAAGGCTGACTCAATTGAAGTAGACCAAAAAACTCATAAGCCTAAATGATCTTATCAATAACAAGCCTTTTTCCTAGGTGGGGGTTGGCAGAGGGGAGAAAATGGTGCAAAGTACAAAAAGGATGAGAACTGAGGAACACAGCCTAGGCTGTCTGAAGTAAGTTCCCCAGATTATTAGCAGTCTATCACTTTTCAGATACAGCACACAGATTCCCCAATGAGGAATTGTGTAGCTTAAGAATAGAAAGAAGTTGGAGACCAAAGAGCTGATGTCTAGAAATAAACAGTAGTGAAAAGAGATCAAATTTGTTTATCACAACCAGCCTCAAACAACAAATCAACAAGCTTAATACAAATCTTTTCCTGACTGCTGCTGATCAGAGACATATAAGATGAATGAGTCCAAGAATTTTAAAAAAACCCTTCCCAGCTTAACTCCAGATATGTCATCAAGATTTATTAAATATTTTACATACCTCATCAAATTCTGAGCCAAATGCTGCTGGGTTGGAAATTGCATCAGAGATTTCTTGTGCTATTTCTTGCTGTTCTGTGATGTCTTGCATCATTTCATCAATTTTATCTAAATCTCTGAAAAGAAAACATCAATTAATACCTCTAAACTTTCTTCACTTTCACCAACTCAATTTCTTTCAAACCATTTCCAACACGGATTGCCATAACTGAAGATTTTATGGACAGTTTTGTTTATCTACAAAATAGTAATTCTTGTTTATTTACAGAATAGTATTGCAAATTTTCTTTTCATGTAATTTTGAACTTTAAACGAGCCTGGTAAAAGGTTGTTTTAAAGCCAGGAAAATCAGTCAGACAGCCAGTATGACCCAATTTCTAGATCCTATATTTAAAATATTTCAATTTGACTACAATGAATCATGATTACATTAAAGTTTTGTGCATCATAAATTGAATCAAAGAGACAGAAGATGGGCAGAGGCTTGAAATACAAAACGTTCCAGGTTTCAACCCTATTTTGTATTGATTAAACCAATACTGGCTAGTGTGACAACCGTGTTAAGAAAGTGATTGTGTCCATGTGGTTAGGGAAGGATATCTGAAAGGAAGCCAGAAATTCTGTTCCTAACCAACATTCCCTAAATTTTTTGTTGTTGTGCACATTCTATTTGTTTAAGTGTATGGCCTCTAACTGTTTTGCACATCTGCAAATGGGCTATAATGTAAAAAGTGTGACTTTTATATGACTTGCACTGAGATTCCTTAGTTGCACAGTTTAGAGGGGTCATCATTCCTCAACAATAGATTACGGTAATAGTTGTTCTTCCAGTCCAAAGGCAATGGATATGCAAACTCATTGGTGATGAGCAGGAAATGGTTATGTAGTCCCATCTGGATGAAGACTTTGAAACAACCAAGGCAATGGAACTTGTATAGTGCCACATGGACAGATGCTGCTCTCTGACCTTCATGAGCAGTTTCAAGACATTGACGTTGATCCTTTCCAAAAGTGACAGTAACTCTACAGGTCACACCGCTCTAACAAGTTCCTTCTCATGCTAATTCTTCCATTTTCTCAGGGTTGATGCTGCACTCTTAAGACAAATCTGAAGTATGGCTGTGCAAGTGCTGCAAAGACAACTTGGGGTACTTTTGCCGTGCAGCAACTGCTTATGGTCCTCCACTGTAGTTATTATGCGCAGCACAGTTGGTTTTTTAGGAGCACTGCTTCAATATTTGTTAACTAGCTCAGTCCAAGATTGAGATTTGTGATCTGGTTTTAACAGTGGATGAAGAAGATAGCACAAAGAACATGCACGCTTAATTTTTCCCACTTGCTTTATGTTTACAGTATAGAATCCAGGACTCAGCTGTAAACATGGCAAGTTACAACGAGAGCATTGTACATCTTGATCTTTGTGGACAGTTTAATTCTATGGTGGCTTAGAACTCTAATGTCATGCCCACTAAGTACCTGGCTTGCCTTGTTAATGCTGGCTGATTTCTCTGATTCAAACATGCAGTCACTGGAGACCACAGTTTGAAAGTATTTAGAGCTATCACTATTTTTCACCTTTGTATCATCAATGTGGATTTCTGGTTGAACAGAGCTAGAATTTGGCATTGGACTGATGATCAATCCAAAACAGCTTTGAAACCCTCAAAATCTCTTATTTTGAGAACTATTAGGAGTGGAGGTGGTGGTATAGTGGTATGTCACTGGATCAGTGGTACACAGAATTTCAGACTAATGCTTTGGGGACAAGTTCAAATCTTGTTGAGGTGCAATTTGACAAACCGCTAGGAAACTCAAGTTTGATTGTTCACGCATATGCAAGAAAAGCCAGCCTTAAGCAGGTTAAGACAGTACTCCGGACAGCCACAAGTCTTTCTTCTTTTTACACACCTTAATTCACATACATTTACCATTACTCAATTGTAATCCTGTCAAATTTCAATCACATGCTAAACAGATGTCCTGGTGTCAGTTTACCCAATTCCTACAGTATGTACATTAGGCATTATTCTTATCCATCCAACACATCCTATATCTTCCTGATTGTGCAGTCTGGGTTGCCTCCTTGTTTCCATTACCCATTACCCATTCCATGGCCTGCCCCTTTGCCCTAGTCTCATTCCTTGTCCTATCGCCAGTAGATCTGTTAATCATCTCAATCAGAGAGAGAATACTGGAGAAACTCAGCAGATTAGGCAATATCTGTGGCAGGAGAAACAGAGTTAATGCTTCAAGTCCAGTCTGACTCTTCTTCAGAATTGAAAGCTGCTGGAAAATTAGTTTTGTTTAATATTTTCAACAAAGGCAGAAGAGGAGCAAGGGAATAGATGGTGTGGAGGACCAGTGCAAAAAACAAAGGGGTGTTCATGGTGGTGAAAGAGAAAAAGAGATGTCAGATGGCTGAAATCAACGTGTGACAGGGAGAGAATGGGCCCTCTCTACTACGAACAAAGTAAACAAGTCACAAACAAGATAAGGCTATAGCAGGTGAGGGGTGGAGACAGAATGCAAGAAAAATGGAGAACAGCAGTACATTTCTGAAGTTATAAAATTCAACAGTGAGACCACGAGGCTGTAAAGTGTCAAGCAGAAAATGAAGTGCTGTTCAACGAGCTTGAGTTGTGCTTTGCTGGACTATTGAAACAGGCTCAGGATAGAATGTTACGATGACAGCAAGGTAGTTTATTGAAATGGCAAGCAACTGCAAGGTCAGGGTCATACCACAGAGAAAGCAGAGATGTTCTGCAAAGCAGTCACCCAGTCCGTACTTGGGTATTGCCAATGTAAAGGAAACTGCAACATAATCAGTGAATACAATAAAAGAGAACATGCTGCTTTACCTGAAAGGTGTGTTTGAGGCCTGGGACACTGAAGAGAGAAGAGGTGAATGGATATCTTCTGCAACTGTATGGATAGGTGCCATGGATGAATGAGGATGGTTATTCTGACATTTTATGTTGCTTCCACAATATCCAGTTTTCTGATCCCAGCCACCACATATTCACCATGAATGTGCAGTCCCTTTACATGTTCATTCTGCATCAGAATGATCTGAAAGGTCTCCACTTCTTCCTTGAAAATAGACCTGCAGCATCTCTATCTTTCGCCTAACTGGGATTATTCTCACTTTGAATAACTTCTCCTTGAACTCGCCTCATTTTCTCCCTGTCAAATGTGGCCATGAGTACCCATTCAGTCCTGAAGAGTCATACCAGTCTCAAAGCGTTAACACTTTCTTTCTCTCTCTCCACACAGAGTTTCTCCAGCATTTTCTGTTTGTGTTTCAGATCTCCAGCATCCACAGTATTTTGCTTTGATTTATAGCAAATCATCTGTTCAGCTCTCTTCTGCTTGTATCTTACTTCACTAAAGGACACTTGCAACTGAAACAGTTTATTACTTTCAAATTTCTCCACCACAGATGGTGAAATTTAAATCCAATAAAAATATGGAAGAAGAATCTGGCTCAGTGGCAACCATGGAATCACTGTGAATGGTCATAAAACCTTTCCGGTTGACTAATGTCCTTCAGATAAGAAAACTGTTATTCCTACCTGGAGTAGCCTACATGTAACTTCTGACAAATGTAGCTGACACTCAAGTGCCCTTTCAGCAATTAGAGATGGGCAATAAATGTTACCCTAGCCAGTGGTAACTTCATTTCTTTGACAAATACAAAAATTGACAAAAAGAAATTCTTGGATGGTTTCTGCACAGAAACATTACAGGTCAAAGACTGAATAATCAAGGTGATAATAAAGATCATTCCCTCTTCAACATCCTTAACAGCATGACTAAGGTCTTGGGTGAAGAATAGGTTAAACAGTACTGACGCTATAATACAGCCCTGCTTAAACTTGTTCGATAACAAAGAGAGCTGATGATTCATTATTTAAAAGGGACGTGGTTTGTCGTTTCATCATCAAAAAGCTTTATTAGTGTGTCATTTTTCTTTTCGGACAAACACGCTGTTCTAAGATTGTCTAGTGGGCCATCCTATTGATGAGGTCAAAGTCTTGTAAAGTCAAAGAAAATGAAGAGCCATGTTCTGCTTGAGGCATCTTCCTCGAAAATCATGTCCACACTGCTGTGACCTGGATGAAAGCCACACTAAGTCTCAAGTAGATTTCTGCGATGTCGAGAAGTCTCTTCAGGATGATGACAGTGAAGACCTTTCCTCCTATGGACAAAAGTGAGATATTTCTGTAACTGCCACACTCTGCTTTGCTGCCTTTGTATCTTCAGACACCAATAATCATGGCATCACAAAAGAAATTTGGCATCTTCTTTTTCATTCCAAATGCACAAGGAATATCATGGAAGACCTTGTGTGAGGGTCTGATCTATTTAATGGCTTTTCTGGAAAATCATCAGCAGAAGCAGGCAAGTCAAGCTCATCAAGGACCGGTCACTGAAGGCTGTGATGTTGACAATGGTCAGTCTTTTCAGCAGACTGAACTATCCTGCCTATGTTTCTTATTTCTGCCTGATCTGCCCATCAGCCACGAGCAGTGCAGAGCCTATCCTAGAGGATCCATATAGATTTAACAGAAAAGAAAAGCTTTATTTGTTGACTTGCACAAGGGTATATATTTCTTTAGCTTTCCTTTCACTGACCACCTTGTATCTCACACAGGTCTCTGAACATTGTTCTTCAAGTTCACAACTTGTCTCCTTTGGAGATCGAGGTTGGATGATTCTACCACTCCATAAATAGTCTAATTATATGCAAGATTGGAGAGATGTTTGTGCACTGTTTCTTTAGTCCCGGAACAATCTATGCTGTTTCATTGACAACATCTTTAGATTTGCTCCACTTCTCCTTCATAGTTTCATTAATCTGTGATCCAACAAACATTCTGTACCTCACATTGCATGGAGGATTTGTACATCCTGAAGATCCATTCATGTTGATCATGTGCCACTGTCTGGGATGCATCCAAGAAATCTTGCACTTATTAGCCTGTTTGAGCAATGTGTTGAAAATGTAGAGATTGCACTCAGCACATTTGCTTATGTGTAACTGGGCATTTCTGTTAAGTTTTACAACTTCACGTTTACCTAGAACTCGTCTCCTGCTGTCTCTGACTTTCTCCATATAGCCACTGAAGTATCCCAAGTTCATGAATTATTATTGACACATGTGGACTTAATAAAGTAATCCAGATCCTTGTAGAATTGTTCTTTTGTGTCCTTAGGACTGTTGAGAGTTCATATGTAAGCGCTGATTATGGTGTTATCTGGCACATTTAGTACGCAGACGGTGATGGTTGTATGACACATTTGGACGAAAGGATAGCACAATTTCATAAAGCACTATGGATCCTAATGAGTTGTCTTGGCAAAAAAAGACGTTTCCAGACTCTCATCTAAAATAGTAATCCTTTGCATCTGGAAAAACAAACTCCGTACAAAACATTATTTGAAACAATATAGTTGATGAGTGTCACGGCATTGAAACCAGACTGGGGGAGGGAATGGCCTTACGGTATTATCACTGGACTATTGGTCTAGAGACCCAGATAATGTTCTGGGGACTCAGGTTCGAACCCCACCATGGCAGATGGTGGAATTTGAATTCAATAAAATATGTGGAATTAAGAATCTAATGATTACCGTGAATCCATTACCAATTGTCGGAAAAACCCATCTGGTTCACTAACATCCTTTAGGGAAGGAAACTACCATCCTTACCTGGTCTGGCCTATATGTGACTCCAGACCCACAGAAATGTGGCTGACTCTTAACTGCCCTCTGGGCAATTAGGGATGGGCAATAAATGCTGCCTAGCCAGCGACACCCTCATCCCGTGAATGAATAAAGGAAATAAAGGCTAATATCTCTGTACAAAACTAGGTTCCGCTCATCATATCTGACACCAGGAAAACTTGGTTTACAGGGCCTAATGTAATCCTTAAGAGAAGGTTAGCATCTAAAAGGTAAGTTTATGAAAGATTCTTACTGGAGCGTGGAGCTGGAAGAAACACACCCTGTATAAAAACCATGGGCTATGACCACCCCACTTACCCAAAATCCCACTAGCAACTTGTTCCAGTTCATTCATCCTCCTTTCCCAATGGCAGCATGGCAACCAAGTCAACACTAAAAAAAAAATTTAAAAATTAACTAACTTGCAATTTAAGCAGGTGCCCATAGTTCACTAGTCTAATGTAAGTTTAAGGCCAAATAAAGCTTAATCCCTAAATAAGACTGTGCCTCAGCCTTCAACATTCAGGGTTAATGGGCTGGTTTCAATGCCATGACAACTATATTGTTTCGAATAATGTATATCACAATGAAGTGTTCCAAAGGAATTACCAACGCTAAAGTGGAATAGCTAGTCTATTTTCAATATGTGTTACTTGACTATAAATTCAGGATTTAAGTACATCTATCTACACAGCAATTCACAATTGGTACCAAAATAAACTGAAAATAATGTGGACTCAAAATATCAAACATAATAAGCCAGATTTTACTGGAATGGGGTATCCTGTGGTGATTAGGCATTTTTAAATTCTTCAAATTCTTTCATCACAAAGTTGCTGGATCTGCAAGCTGATCATATCATAGCAAAGGAAAGGGAATCTGGAATCCTGCTGAGTAACAGAATAAACAATATATCTTACTAATCAGTGTGATTCAAGAATGCGGAAATAAACTGTAAAGCCCGAGAAGGAGGGTAAATTTCAATGTCAAATCAGTTAAATAAGTGAAATAAAAAGAAAGAAAAACTGGATTTAGAGGCATCGGAAAAGAGGCAAAAGATGTTAAAATTAGATATTTTTAAAACCAACTAAAACAATTCACAAAAGATAAAAGCGAAGTACTGCGGAGAAAATATAAACACTGTCAACACCAGAGAAACAAAGTTAATTTTTGGATCTGCTGTGACTCTTCTTTGGAAGTAAACTTCCAACTTGAAACATTAACCTTGTTTATCTCTCCACAAATGCTACCAGATCTACTTAGTTTCTCCAGCACTTTATTTTTAACCAATTCATAATCATGAAAAAATGAGGCTCCACTCTACTGCCGAACCAAAAAGTTGATTGGCAAGTTAACATTCAATTGGGTCAGTGACTTATAGCAAATCACAGTTCTTGGGTTATTTCTTCTTCACTATATTGCTGGCCTATTTGCACATTGATAATGGTGTGCACGCTTCAAAAATTTCAGAAAAATCTAGGCCAATGACCATTGATTTGGAAATAAATTCATCAGTACCTGGTAAAACTAAAACACTTACATGCGCTCATGAACAGCTTTTATGGCCTTTGCAGCATAGCCCATAGATTTCAATACTTCCGTATTTGTGTTTGCATTTTCTAATGCTTCTCGCTGGAATTCAATTGTAGAGAGCGTACCATCAATCTGTGCCAACTGCTTTTCAAGTCGCTTCTTTCGTTTGAGTGCTTGTAGGGCAACTGGGAATAGAAACAACAAGACCATGAATATAGTGAAACAAAAACAGTGCTGCAGAAACTCAGCAGGTCTGGCAGCATCAGTGGAGAGAAAAACAGATTTAAAGATTTGAATGTAGTGACCTACATCAGATAGGATAAAAGCGGGGAAGTAGCATTATTTATACTCTTGACATGGGTAGGGTTGGAGGATAGGCAGCGGAGAAAGGGGTGAGTTGGAGAGAGACATTGCACAGAGACAGAGAAAAAAGGAGCAGACAAAAGAATTGCGGATAGTAAGCCCGAAGAGAAGTAATTGCTAAATGGATGCTAGTAAGTATTGAAAATAGGGGGATCTGATTGAGGTATATAAAATGCTAAAGGGGACTGATAAAGTAGACGTTGAACAGATATTCCCCCTTGTGGGACAGTCTCGAACAAGAAGTCATTGATACAAAGTGAAAGGACGCAGGTTCAAAACTGAAACGCAGAGAAACTATTTCTCTCATAGGGTTGTGAATCTGTGGAACTCACTGCCCCAGACTATAGTGGAGGCAGAAGCAAACAACAGACTTAAAAAAGAAATAGATATGTTTCTGATAAAATGCAGGCTAAAAGGCTATGGGGAGCAGGCAGGAAAGTGGAGTTATGACCAGGATAAGCTTAGCCATGATCATGTTAAATGGTGGAACAGGCTCCAGGGGCTGAATTGCCAACTCCTGCTCCTAATTCTTGTGTTCCCAGTTGAAAATGGGTTGGCTGTGCTGGGAGGCAACAAATACAGACCAGGACCTCGGGGTGTGGGGTGGATAACAAACATAAAGAAAGGTGTCCATGCTCTGAAATTGTGAACTCAGTGTTGAGTCCTGAGAGCTGTACCAAGATGAGGTCTTGTTCCTCCTGCTTGTGTTGAGTTTCACTGGAACATTACAGAAGACAGAAACGTTGGCATGGGAATTTTTACAGATAGAGAGGAGGTAGTTTACAAAACGGTCATCCAGTTCGTGCTTTGCGTCCCCTGTATAGTTGAGGTTGTTTGTTTTAATTTATGAATATAGTGAGTTCAATTTTGAATAATTATCAGATTTTTCAGAAAGGATTTTCATAATTTTCACCACATCATGATCATTAACGGAAACTACAGAAATAAGAATTCCCAATGTAATACATAGGGAGGGAACAAGAGAAAAAATGTGACAACACAACATAGATATTTATGAGTGGGATATATTATTTTAACTAATTGAGGTATATACCCATTTGGCCAGACCGACATAGAACATAGAGCATAGAACATGGAACATTATAGCGCAGTACAGGCCCTTCAGCCCTCGATGTTGCGCCGAACTGTGAAACCAATCTGAAGCCCATCTACCTACACTATTCCATTATCAGCCATGTGTTTATCCAATGACCATTTAAATGCCCTTAAAGTTGGTGAGTCTACTACTGTTGCAGGCAGGGCATTCCACGCCCTTACTACTCTCTGAGTAAAGAACCTACTCTGACATCTGTCCTATCTATCACCCCTCAATTTAAAGCTATGTCCCCTCGTGCTAGCCATCACCATCCGAGGAAAAAGGCTCTCACTGTCCACCCTATCTAATCCTCTGATCATCTTGTATGTCTCTATTAAGTCACCTCTTAATCTTCTTCTCTCTAACAAAAACAGCCTCAAGTCCCTCAGCCTTTCCTCATAAGACCTTCCCTCCATACCAGGCAACATCCTGGTAAATCTCCTCTGCACCCTTTCCAATGCTTCCACATCCTTCCTATAATGCGGCGACCAGAACTGTACGCAATACTCCAAGTGCAGCCGCACCAGAGTTTTGTACAGCTGCAACGTGACCTCATGACTCCGAAACTCAATCCCTCTACCAATAAAACCTAACACACCGTACGCCTTCTTAACAACCCTATCGACCCGGGTGGCAACTTTCAGTGATCTATGCACATGGACACAGAGATCTCTCTGCTCATCCACACTACCAAGAATCTTACCATTAGCCCACTACTCTGTATTCCTGTTACTCCTTCCAAAGTGAATCACCTCACACTTTTCCACATTAAACTCCATTTGCCACCTCTCAGCCCAGCTCTGCAGCTTATCTATGTCCCTCTGTAACCTGCAACATCCTTCCGCACTATCCACAACTCCACCAACTTTAGTGTCATCCATAAATTTACTAACCCATCCTTCTACACCCTCATCCAGGTCATTTATAAAATGACAAACAGCAGTGGCCCCAGAACAGATCCTTGCGGTACACCACTAGTAACTGAACTCCAGGATGAACATTTCCCATCAACCACCACCCTCTGTCTTCTTACAGTTAGCCAATTTCTGATCCAAACCGCTAAATCACCCTTAATCCCATGCCTCCGTATTTTCTGCAATAGCCTACCTACTTATCAAACACTTTACTGAAATCCATATACACCACATCAACCGCTTTACCCTCATCTACCTGTTTGGTCACCTTCTCAAAGAACTCAATAAGGTTTGTGAGGCACGACTTACCCTTCACAACACCATGTTGATTAACCCTAATTAAATTATTCCTTTCTAGACGATTATAAATCCTATCTCTTATAATCCTTTCCAACACTTTACCCACAACCGAAGTAAGGCTCACTGGTCTATAATTACCAGGGTTGTCTCTACTCCCCTTCTTGAACAAGGGGACAACATTTGCTAGTCTCCAGTCTTCTGGCACTATTCCTGTAGACAATGACGACATAAAGATCAAAGCCAAAGGGCTCTGCAATCTCCTCTCTAGCTTCCCAGAGAATCCTAGGATAAATCCCATCCGGCCCAGGGGACTTATCTATTTTCACACTTTCCAGAATTGCTAACACCTCCTCCTTATGAACCTCAATCCCATCTAGTCTAATAGCCTGTATCTCAGTATTCTCCTCGACAACATTGTCTTTTTCCTGTGTGAATACTGACGAAAAATATTCATTTAGCGCCTCTCCTATCTCGTCGGACTCCACGCACAACTTCCCACTACTGTCCTTGACCGGCCCTAATCTTACTCTAGTCATTCTTTTATTCCTGACATACCTATAGAAAGCTTTAGGGTTTTCCTTGATCCTACCTGCTAAAGACTTCTCATGTCCCCTCCTGGCTCTTCTTAGCTCTCTCTTTAGGTCCTTCCTGGCTAACTTGTAACTCTCAAGCGCCCTAACTGAGCCTTCACGCCTCATCTCTACATAAGCCTCCTTCTTCCTCTTGACAAGAGATTCAACTTTAGTAAACCACGGTTCCCTCACTCGACCACTTCCTCCCTGCCTGACAGGTACATACTTATCAAGGACACGCAGTAGCTGTTCCTTGAACAAGCTCCACATTTCAATTGTGCCCAGCCCCTGCAGTTTCCTTCTCCATCCTATGCATCCTAAATCTTGCCTAATCGCCTCATAATTGCCTCTCCCCCAGCTATAACTCTTGCCCTGCGGTATATACCTATCCCTTTCCATCGCTAAAGTAAACGTAACTGAATTGTGGTCACTATCACTAAAGTGCTCACCTACCTCCAAATCTAACACCTGGCCTGGTTCATTACCCATTACCAAATCCAATGTGGCCTCGCCTCTTGTTGGCCTATCTACATACTGTGTCAGGAAACCTTCCTGCACACATTGGACAAAAACTGACCCATCTAAAGTACTCGAACTATAGCGTTTCCAGTCAATATTTGGAAAGTTAAAGTCCCCCATAACAACTACCGTTACTTTCGCTCCTATCCAGAATCATCTCTGCAATCTTTTCCTCTACATCTCTGGAACTTTCCCGAGGCCTATAGAAAACTCCCAACAGGGTGACCTCTCCTTTCCTGTTTCTAACCTCAGCCCATACTACCTCAGTAGACGCGTTCTCGTCAAACGTCCTTTCTGCTACCGTAATACTGTCCTTGACTAACAATGCCACACCTCCCCCTCTTTTACCACCTTCCCTGATCTTACTGAAACATCTAAGCCCTGGAACCTGCAACAACCATTCCTGTCCCTGCTCTATCCATGTCTCCGAAATGGCCACAACATCGAAGTCCCAGGTACCAACCCATGCTGCAAGTTCACCCACCTTATTCCGGATGCTCCTGGTGTTGAAGTAGACACACTTCAAACCACCTTCCTTCCTGCCTGCCGGTACACTCCTGCGACCTTGAAACCTTATTCATGACGTCATTACTCTCAACCTCCTGTACACTGGAGCTACAATTCAGGTTCCCATCCCCCTGAATTAGTTTAAACCCTCCCAAAGAGCATTAGCAAATTTCCCCCCCCCCAGGATATTGGTACCCCTCTGGTTCAGGTGTAGACCATCCCGTTTGTAGAGGTCCCACCTACCCCAGAATGAGCCCCAATTATCCAGGTATCTGAATCCCTCCCTCCTGCACCATCCCTGTAGCCACGTGTTCAACTGCTCTCTCTCCCTATTCCTCACCTCGCTAGCATGTGGAACGGGTAACAAACCAGAAATAACAACTCTGTTTGTTCTAGCTCTAAATTTCCACCCTAGCTCCTTGAATTTCTGCCTTACATCCCCATCCTTTTTCCTACTTATGTCGTTGGTGCCGCTCCCCCTCCCACTTAAGGATCCCAGTCACCCCCTCTCAACCTTGCCTTCTCTGAGGATTGAGCTAAGGACCTTCAGATTATGAGACTGACACGCTGCCTATCGCACTAAGAAGGCACAGCACACCTAGATGGAAAATAATTTCAGTTTCTAAAAATCTAGAACAAGATTATTAAACAACAGTACCTTTTTATTGGATACTTTTCAATTACTGACTTTAACATTGCTATTAACAACTCCAACTTAGCTTTAATTCCCACTTTCTCTCGAAGAAAAGGTGGCAGCAATGTGGAATGTGTGTCAGCATTTCATAAGGTGCATAAATTGGCACTTGGGTAGGGAGTTCTCTACTGAAATACTACATTCGCATAGCAAAATAGTTAAAACTAATACCTGGGCTCACAGAATGCTTTTAAGGGGTATTCAACAAATGATAGTCTGAAGAGGGGGGGTGAATTGATAATGCATCTCTGCCAACTATACATATATTTAGCTCTTTACAAAAACAAATCTTGTCATTTGTAAGAGCATTTATACTCTGATCCACAATCCAAATATAAAATAGCTAAATTTGATTAGAAGGAATCAATAAGCCTAATTTACAGTTGAAATATCGTGGTTTACATGACAGAATGCTTACTGGTAAGTTATATCTTGCGTAGTGGGTCTCAAAAATCCTTATACTGAAGTAGAATGACTTTTTTCAACTAAGATTTTGATTTTATAATTATGTGGCATACACAAAATGGTCAGAAAGAAAGACACAAGTAGACAGTGTCATGAGATGGTGGTGGAGATTTATACCAATCTTTGAAATATGGGCAGTATCACAACCAAGTTTTTTTTTGAAGAAAGAAGCCACTACAACTTTGTGTTAGTATGTCTTTCTATATATATATATAATGAAGAAAAGTATCAGTGTACCTATTAATATCATTTTTGGTTTGAACTTTAAAATAGTGGCAATATAGGATTGGTTAGTTCATGAAGGTTTTTTAAAATAATAACGACGTCATCTATCCTTCCTGAACAGAGACCTAATCTATTAGATGTCAGAGAGTAGGGACCCCTCAAGAGACTATTGGGAAATTGTTCTTACTCTGTTGATTTACGGCAGGGAATGTAAACATTGAAGGCCATAAGCTTGCTTTTAATACAAAATATCATGGATCAATGTTAACTTAGGAAACACAGAGATTGAAAGTGGTCAGGCAGATCAGAGAATACATGACTGGAATTAGAAGCAAATAGTGCTTCTGACTTAGAAAGACGTATAGGACAGTTCAGGGAAAGCACATAGTTACCACATTAGAAAAAATTAGCTTGTTAAACTTCCAAACCATGAATGTTTGGTTAGAAATCAGCAGATGTTATAAAAAGAAAGTCAAAGCTCTCAGTTTTGTGAATATTCATGTAAAAAGATTACATAGTTCACGGGAAAGGTCTGGAGAGACATTAAGTCAAACTTAAAGATTTGGGACAGAAACTTAACTTCTCTGGACGAGTCTCTTAACGGATAGTGCCAACACATGGGATTAGACTTTGCTTTGCTCTATGTTGCAAGATCTTTCAAACTGTGTTCTACATTTAGATAGCTCAGTTTGTGCATTCCTCTTTTTGTGCTAGAAACTCCAATGATTAGTTAAAACTTTGCTGCCTTCTGTGACTATTGCAATGAATAACCATCGTATTAACAACTAATATTCAAAAATCTATCAAGCCAGACTTAATTCTACAATCTGACTTGGCCATTACTACCATGAGCTGGGACCATAAAACACATATTTATACAGAAATACATCCATGTTTATATTTATTTTAAAATCTAAGTCTATAGACCAAAAAATTCAAAAGAAAAACTAATTCAAAATTACAGTTAACCTTGTCTGATGTGGATAACATTCCAATTATCAGTTGAGAAAGAAAACAAAAAAGTGACAGTTTTTGTTCTTTCATTTTATAATCTAAAAAATTTCCAATACTTTTCTTCTCCTGTGAACACAATTTACTTGTGACTAAATAGCAAAATGTTACTCCATATCCTAGACCACTCTGCTGACTTAAATATGTCTCCCTGTTTTGCACATGGCTATAG